ATCCATATGCATATATAAGCATATATAGCATTTTTTACGTTATGCAACATGTTTAAACACACGTGTGTTTTGTCCGGTTGTGTGTGTGTGTGTGTGTGTATGTATATATACACATATATGTATGTATATATGTATGTATATACATATATAAAAAAAAACATATGTGTGTGATGTATAAGAATACTTTTTTTCACTAACGCTGTTATTTACATCTTTACTTGGAGAAGAAAGTATAACTCCATTATACGCCGCATGGGCTTCAATATCAAACGCATGCATAGTATTCACGTTCATACAAGTAGAATATACATAAATTCACACACTTACGTATATGATATATATATGTGTGTGTGTCAGTATGTGTGTGTTTATGTGCGTGAGTATGTGTGTGTTTATGTGTGTGTATGTGTGTGTGTGTGTTTATGTGTGTGTCTGTGTGAGTATGTGTGTGTTTATGTGTGTGTGTGTGTGTGTGCATATACTATATATACATATATATGTGTGTGTGTGTATATATATATATATATATATTATATATATATATATATATATATATATATATATATATATATATATATATATACGCAGATATATGTATGTAAATATAAACATACTGCATACAGGTGTGTGTAACGATGAGCAACGGCAATGTCATCCTTCCGCAGCAATATCCTTCGTGGCAGCAATAAAATCTGGCATCCTTCTGGGCCTTGCGGAAGGAGGGACTTGAGTATATATACTGAAACAGTGGCAGACAGCATCACACCGCGCTGACCAGACGCTTAGTCATTCATCAACTGGATTAAGGCATTTCAGTAACCATGATTCCATTGAGTATTTTGGTAAGAAGTCACCCATTACGGTGTAAAACTAAATCACCCATTTTGAAAAGAAGCATGATAATTGTCTATCATTTTCTTCGTATTATTATTATTTTTTTTTCTCTCTTCTGATTTCTTTATACAGTAAACGTGCATGAATATATACATATGTATATACATGTTTATGACAGCAAGCACACATATTATTCTGTCCTTTGTTCTATCTTTCGTAATTTCCTATTAATCTTCCTCATACACGAAGAAGTATTAGTAATTTATATGTTAAACTCCCTAGCTCCGCGGTGCCTCCATCCTGGCCCTGGTGTGCGTGGTGTCCGCCGCCCCGCAAGGATACGGTGCCGGAGGCGACGGCGGACTGGGAGTCGATCTCGGCGGCGCAGGAGGCCACGGTGGTGCAGGAGGCCACGGCGGCAGCGGCGTTGGCGGCGGCAGTGTCCTTCCCGGCGTCCTGGTCGGCAGCGGGATCCTTCCTGAAAGTGCCATTGGCGGTGTAGGTGGTGGAGTTGGAGGTGGTGCTGCTGGAGGTGTCGTCGGTGGGGAATACAGCGCACCAAGTGCCGGTGCCGCTGGAGGCTTCGACGCTGGAGTTGCTGGAGGTGCTGCTGGTGTCGTCGACGAAGGATACATCGTCCCGGCTGAAGTCTCTCCCGTCAGCCCCCCTGAAAGCGAATATGCTGCACCACACTAACTTTGCTGTCATTGCTAATAAAAGAATTATAAGATGTTAAGCTTTTACATCCTGAAGTGACCCACCACACACAAAAAAGAAGAAATGTCCTTTCTTATTGAGTGAGAAATTACCTTTCGTTAACATACACTCACACATATGTATTTACATATATATAAACGTATGCGTGTAATATATATATATATATATATATATTATATAATATTATATATATATATATATAATATATATATATATATATATATATATATATATATATATATATATATATATATATATATATAATATATTATATATATATATATAATATATACATATATATATATATATAATATATATATATATATATATATATATACACACATATTTAAGCATAAACGTACACACGCATACACATATACTCGTACATATATAAGTACATGTGCTTGTGTGTGTGTATACATGTTTATGTGTAGACATGTATATCTGTATCTATCGATACATATATATGTGAAGCAGTATAAAATAAAATGAACTTCCTTTCAACAGTTTCTCTGCCATCGTCTTCTTGCCACATTTCTGTCTCCATCGATTACGTAAATTCTAGTAAAAGAGATAGCTTAAAAACAGTTCCATATTTCGGTTAATATATTCTCGGTTCTTCCGTTTCTCTATATACCAATGATATATCTTTCATCTTCTGTGTTTTAAAAAACTTCATTCATCTGTTACCAGAACTGTTGATGGTTTGAATATTAGCATTCCGTGCCTATTTCCCGCCGATGCCAGCATGTCGCGAGGGAATATGTAGGGGAAGTAATGTTGCTACATCGCATGCGACACAACTTCCGTTTGGCAAGTGGATGTCATGAGGACACGGCACGTTGTGGAGTTGTCATTTGTGTCAGTACGTTAAGGTTCATTGTCCACAGACCAGATCTAGGAAGAAATGTTGATGTTACAACTAAAATCAATTATCATAAAATATATGATAACGATGGTATCAAACTTATAAACTATATATCATATTTGTTTCTTTAGGCATTAGTAAAGTTTTTTTTTTTGTGATGTATAATATATTGGTCAGTGGGGATTAATGTTACTTTGCCGATTTGCTCCAAATCTTGCAAACCAATAAGGATATAAGTATCTAATCTTGCAATCAGTGATTTAATCATCGTATTTACAAGCCAGGGGCAATAAACTTTAACACCTCGTGCAACATATTATTATATCTTATTATCCTATTGCCGCATTCGCCTTTTGATGGCGTCTACAGTCGATACAGGGACAACAGGATGTCAGTTGATGGGTTTTGCCACTTTACAATTTCCCATTAGCGGTGTGAACCCTGGCACCACAGGTTCTGCCTTCGCATCACCTTATAACTTCGTCGTGATAGTCCCTATCCTTCGTAGAGAGATGCTGGCCGACCTTATTTAACAGTCAAAGGTATGACGGTATAATGCGACGTGCCTCGGAGACGCTGACTTGAGAAGGTAAACGAGGGAAGTCGTCACTCAGTTCCTTGTACGAAGAAACATCGAGCTCCGAGTAGGGTGGAACTGGAAGCTCCCTTGAGTTCTCTCTGCTGAAGGATATCTCACTCCCCAATATAGCAAAACATGAGACACATGACTGAAAGGAACGCAGAAACATGAGGTCAATCTGTTCGCATTGAGAAAGGTAAAGTAATTAGGATAGGTATAATCAGTGGACGACTAAGCTAGGTGAGAATACCTCGCGCAACACAGTCACCGCAATTTAGTCACCCCCGTCATACGAGTCTGCGATCTTCCTTCCAGGTCATAGTGTCCACGCGGCGTAGAAACCGTGCACCGTCCCGTCGCCTCTTCCTTTGTCTTCTTATTCTTCCCTCCTTCCACTCAATGGCACCTTCATCGCCTTCTTTAGTTGCTCCTCTTACCTTTTTTTCAGTATTTTATATTTCGCCCATTCTTATATCTTCACTTATCCTTCTTTCCAAAAGTGAAATGCCGGCAATTCACGTTGCTATCATCATCTCTGTTTTATATAATAGGAGTGTCACGCCAGAAATGTTATCGTGGTTCTTGACGCTTCCGTGTTTTTATTTATATTCTTACTACTGCTTGCATTTTGGCCGGGCACGATAATTCTCTGTTATACGATAATAATAATTTTCGGTTGCTCCTTTTGTTCAAATCGTGTTATAATTAATAATCATTATAGTAATGCAAAATAAATCTATTCATATTATGAAACGATATGAAAAGGCTCTCTGAAGTGCATGTAATATGAAATAATCGGCAACATTTTTGTATTATTTATCTAAAAAGGTCAGATCAACTCCTGTCTCCTGTTTGCATTCATTATTCATCATTTTGTATTCCCTGAGAGCAGGGGCTTTTACCGAAATTACGATGGTCTAGTAGTTCTCGCTAATGATACTGCGTGAGTAAAAAAGACGTTTCCATGGTACAAGACGTTTCCATGGTACAAGAGTAAAAAAGACGTTTCCATGGTACAAACGAAAATACAATACAGAAAAAGATACAAGTATGACACCGTCTTAATATGCTCTCTGCCTTTCTCTCCAAGGTCCAGGGTTTGTGCTCCATACAAAAGAACAGGTCTAAAAACAGGTTTGAAAACATTGATTCTTAGTTTTAGAGACCAAAGTTACTCCACTCACATCACTCCATTTCCATCGAGCTTCTTTCTTTGTCCAAATTATTTCTCGATTTCATCTTCTGCAATTAGTGATCATTTTTTTTTTTCTTATTCAGTCGTCTATATCAACCTTACACTATGTATGATATGGTGTCGACTTCTTGTCCTTCTCTGCTATTGTATTTACTTTTAATCCCTTTCTTTCTCAGCACCCCTTACTAAGTAAATACCTTTTATTGTAATTTCTCTAAAAAATTCGACGTCCATTTCTCTTGAACATAAATTTGCGTTGCTTATGTGTGTATGGTCTAGTTATACTACAAAGTCAATAGCAGATACACAGATTGCAGTTGGCATACACATCTCTACATGGGAATTGAATTATTGAAGAAATTAGTCATCAGCAAAAATCTCATTTATACAGTCACCTGTATTGCATTTTTGCATTTATGTTGCTGTCATTATTCTGATCATTGTAATCATTTTTTTTAATATAAAGTTACGTTTATGCACACATACACACATATATACAAAATATTTTTAATGCTTTTTAATCGAAATGCGACTTCCAGCCCTCGTTCATTTTATCATTATTGTTATAATTATTATCATTATTATTTTCACTGACCATTGGGCGCACTAAACGTTCTATCCGAGTCCTGTCTTAATTTCTTTTTTGAAAAAAATATTTAAAAATGAAGCTTAGCACATGAAGGAAATGATTCTTGATTCAAACTACAATTATTTTCGTAAACGAACCGTGGAAATGTATTTCTTATGGTTATATTGGCAGATTCTATTATAAGCTTTTATATTTTAGAATGTTCAAGTGACTCCAT